AAGGACCACTAATGGGCATGAGCTTTCTTTTTGAGGTGATAGAATGTTCTGGAACTAGTGGTGATACTTGCACAGCTTTGTGACTATGCTGAACAGCACTGAATTAATTGTGCACCTTAAAGCATTATTTTATGGTATGTGAATTACATCTCAATATTTTAAGAGCTGCCTTTTGTGCTATATATGTATTTTTTTATTGTGGCAAAATTTGCCATTTTAAGTGTACAGTTCAGTGGCATTAACTACATTCACATTGTTGTGCCACCATCACTACTAACTGTAACATTTCCCACCTCCCCAAGCAGAAACTCTGGACCCACGAAACAATGACTCCCGTTTCTCTCCCCTCAGCTCTTGGTAACCTCTAGCCCACCTCCCGTCTCTGAATCTGCCTGTTCCAGACAGCCCGTAGGAGTGGAAGCACACAGTATTTGTCCTCGTGTGTCTGGCTTATTTCACTTAGTATAATGCTTTCAAGTTTAATTCCTGCTCTATCATTTACCAGGATTTCTTCCCTTTTTTGCTAAATGATATTCCCCCCTGTGCAGAGGCCATATTTTGCTTATCTATTCACCTGCTGATGGACACCTAGGTTGTTCCCAGCGTTGGCTGTTGAGAACAATGTTTCGGGGTTTTTTTAGGAACTGTTTTCCACAGAGGCCTGTTTTACAGTCCCACCAGCAATGTATGAGGGTTTCAATTCCTCTATGTCCTCATCCAAATTAATTTTCCTTTTAAAATAAGTTATAGCCATCCTAATAGGTATGAAGTAGTCTTGATTTGCATTTCCCTGATGGCTAAGAATGTTGGGCATATTTTCACGTTGGCCATTTGTATATCTTCTTTGGAGAAATGTCTAATCAAATTCTTTGCTCATTTTTAAATTGAGTTGTTGGAGTTCTTTATATATTCCAGATAGTAAGCCCTTACCAGGCATATGGTTTGCAAATATTTTTTCCATTCTGTGGATTGTATTTTCACTCTCTTGTTAGTGTACTTTCATGCACAAAAGTTTTTAATTTTAATGAAAAAGTTTACCTATTTTTCCTTTTTTGCTTGTGCTTTTGGTGTCATATTTAAGAAACAATGACCAAATTCAAGGTCATGGAAATGTGCACTTGCATTTTCTTCTAATAGTTTTATAGTACAGCTCTTAAATTTAGGTTTTTAAATTCATTTTGAGCTAATTTTTGTATATGGTGTGAAGTAAGGGTCCAACTTCAAACTTCTGCACATAATGCCGAGGGTCTGCTTACCATGAGATTGATAATACCTACCTCAGAGGACTGTCATGATGATTAAGAGATATTACTAACTGAGCACCTGCTGAGTCAGAGTGAGAAATACTTTTTATTATTCATGTTATTTAATTTGATAGTCTTATTTATAGTATTATTACCCCACCACCATTTATTCCTCCCCCTCCCCAACCCAGTCTTCGATGGGGAGATTCACCCTGACCTAGCCTTGAGTTGATAGTGTGATATCTCCTCCTGGTGGACATATTCTGAACTGCACCAGATTAAGTCTGACACGCTAGAGTAAGAGTCAAAATTCAGCTCCCTTTCTTTCTTCTTACCTGTAACTATTTCAGCGTGTCCTCTGTAAGAACAGTGACATACTCATACATTGCAGTACGATAATCAAAATCATGAAGTTTAACGTTGATACAATACTATTCTCCAACCCACACAGTCTGCATTCACGTTTTGCCAGTTGGCCCTGTGGTATGCTTTATAGCTCGTTTCCTAGTCCAGGACCACTTAAGGGTCACCTGTGACGTTTGACTGCCCGGTCCCTTTAGTAGACATTTCTCAGCTTTCCTTTACTTTCATGACTTTGACATCTTTGGAGGTCGGGCCAGTTTGTCGGAAGCCGGTCCATCCTTGCTGCTTGACACAGTCGCTGCAGGAAAGAAACATCTGCACAGCATATGTTTCAAGGGACCTGGCGTATATAGCATACTGTTCTTAATATGTTTGCTCCCCTTAGCGCTGTGTGTTTTAACCAAGGTCACCTCTCCGAGAAAGGTTGTTTCCCCAGGTAGGAATTTTTCCCTGAAGTCAGGGAGGGGATGCCTCTCCTAGAAAGGTTGTTTCCCCAGGTAGGAATTTTTCCCTGAAGTCAGGGAGGGGATGAAACTCCTTAACTAAGTGCCAGGCGGGTAGTTAATCACTTTAACTACAAACAATCATGCTTAAGCTACATAATCTTTACTCCCTGGAATGGAGATAAGAAACGCCCTAACCTTTGTAATAGAAATTGACAGGATTAAAATCAACTGGTATAAATACGGATGTAACAAGACAATAAACAGCAGAACTTCGCTGGAGATCCAGACCAGAACTTGGCTGGAGATCCTGGCTAGAGATCCTGGCTAGGCTGCTGATCAACTGAACACTGTCTCCGTGTCCTTCCTTCTTCGCCGACTCCATCCACACCTTTGGGGACCCCTGGACCTGCTGGGGTTGGACCCCGGCACCAGTTATTTTGCTAACTGTCCCTCACCATGGACGTGTCTGCCGTTTCCTCCTGGCTAGATTCACGTTACCAGGTTTTGTCAGGAACGGCACAGGCTGTGTCCTTCTCCCATGACAGTTATGGTGGACCTTTTGAGCTCGGCGTGTCAGCATTTTGAAAAACCCTAACTTAACTCTGGTGCCGTGTCACATATAGAAATTTTTTGATCTTTGCAACCATAGTAAAAACAAAGACATATTTTTGATATTTATTTTATATATTTAAATGCCATTTAACAAAAAAAATCAACCAAAAAACTGAGTTTGCGTGTCACCTCTGACACGCGTGTCATAGTTTCGCCATCACTGTCCTACGACGTTGGTTTGCCCCAAGACTGATGACGCTAACTCGAAGGCCCCATCTGTGGGCCTGTGGGAGCTGAGCTCTGAAGACCAGAGAGGCGCGGAGACTTGCCCCAAGTCACACAGCAAGTCCGGCTCCTCAGCTCAGGGTCTTGACAAGTGCTCAGGAAAACTTCAGCAACGTGAGACCTTCCCCCACTGCCTTGGGCCTCCTTGGGCCCTGGCTCTGCTGGGAGCCTGCGGGCTGGTGAAGGACAGCAGTGTCACACCCCCTTTGTGGCATATCTCACATTCCCAGTTATTTTTATTAGAACATTTTCATTCTACCGATGAATACATTATCTTCCTTTTAAAAAAATGTTTCAGCCAAAGTTAAAGTCCCCTAGGAAAACCCCTCTTCCCTGTCCCCTCCCCCTCCTGTTACCAGTTTGGTGTGAGAAATATATATCTACTAGAGGCCTGATGCACAAATTCGTACAAGAGTAGGCCTTCCTTCCCCCCGGCTGCCGGCACCAGCTTCCGACTGGCACCTGGGAGGGCTTCCCTCCAACCCAGCTTTGTCCGGAATGACATCCGGTCTAATTAGCATGTTATCCTTTTATTATGATAGATACTCCCAGAACACATACATGCTATAGTATTCTCTTCCCACATGGTAACACTGTAGAGGTCAGTCTTGTAAAGGACCCTGGCAGGACTGTCTTCAGCTGCATTGTCAGCACGTGGCTGCCCCCCAGGGATGGGCAGGTGGTTTCCCTTCTCTGCTATCATCAAACACACTGCCCTGTGCACAGCAGCCAGGGCTTCTCCGAGGGAAATGCCCACCTGCGGAGCCTGGACTGCCCGAGGGCGCGGGGTTCCCGCAGGGAACTCCCCTCTGTGGGGGGTGCGGGGCTCTAATGTGTTTTGTTCACTCAGCCTGTTAGACTTGCAGGACTCTTGGGACCTCTGAGAGCAGCCAGGCTGGCTTTTCACAATGCGCTTCAAGGAATCTTGGGGTTCCAGACAGGATGGGGGACAGGGAGGAGGGAGGGTCCAGACCCTCACCCCCACTCCAGCCAGAGCACCTGCCTTTACCTGGTTTCCAATGAAGTTTCCCTGTAAGGAGAATCACGCTGTTGTAAAAGTCACGGGTTTCTGATGTGGCCCAATCCCTGGCCTGGCACAGGCTTCCCTTCGGTGTCACACCTTCTGGATCTGTTCCCAGTAGAGCAGCTTCTTGCTGGTGATGCCAGGTGGCCGCACTGAGCTCCCAGACGACAACCCCCAAGTTGGCCTCTGCAAGTGTGGCTCTTGTGCCGCTGGGTTGGCATTTTAGGGTGTTCCCAGTGGGGTCCCAGCAGGCCCCTCACAGCACCCACATTTCTGTAACCTTCTCAGGCTCACACGGGGGCGGGCTGTGTTAAAGTGCACATGGCTGGGTTCTGATTGAGTGCTTTGGGGGAGCCGGGGAATGTGCATTTTAAAGCCTTGCAGGAGGTTCTGAGGAACAGGTCCCGACACTGGCATTGCAGACAGCTGGCCAGGGCCCCTCCCGCAAATCGCAACCATGCTGGGAGGGCTAGAAAGTCGTTTATTTTATTCAAAGTTTTTGCTCCTTGGACAGAGGGACTCTGAATTCATCTGAGCCAGGGCTTCCCAAAGTGGGGTGCCTCTGCTGCTGGAGAGGTTGTTAAAATGCAGGTTTGCCCCCCGCTCATCTGTCAGAAAACTCTGAGAGTGTGGCCTTGGAATCTCGTATTTTAAGCAAATTCTCCAGGGACAGCCATGAAGTCCAATTCCCTCCAAACCCCTAAAAGATGAGGAAACTGAGGATCAAGAGGTAAAAGTGACCTGTCCCCAATCACAAGTCACATTAGTGGCAGAACTGGTTCTAGGCTCTGAGCCTCTACACCAGGGCGAGGCACTTGTCACCATCTGGCAGGTCTGAAGGCACTTTGCCCCCTGAGACACCCCACCTGCTGGCTGTCCCACGACAGGCCTCTGCTATCTGGGGAAACTATCTACAACCCCATGGACATGACCTCTGACCTCTGATTTGACTGAGTCACCGTGTGTGTGTGGGGGGGGGGGGGGATAGCAAAGGGGGGCAGAGTGGCTGTGCATGCAAACATCTGTGTCTCCACCCTCCTCTGCAAGGTCTTGCTCAAGGTCGGACAGACAGACATGACCAATGGGTACAAACGGAACCCCATTTTATTAGCAGTTAGTTCGATATTGTACATTAATGGAGGAAGGTTCCCACTGTTAACACAACCCAAAACGGCTGGTTTGAGAGCCCTGATCAGGTGAGCTGGGTAGCGCCCCCTCTCCACACCTCTCCCCACCCCAAGGGAAGGAAACCTGGGCCTGCTCCCCCAGCGTGCCCCCCCACCCTCTCCAAGTCAGCCCTCTCCTCTCCCCAGGAAATGACATGAATTTCATGCACAAATTACAAAAGGAGCCCTCTTGCTGATAATAAACGCTAGCATAGTCTTAAAAAACCCTCTCCTCCCTCATTCTCCTCAAGGGCCACAGAGAGGGAGGGAAGGAGAAACTTAGGATAAAACACAGCCAGAGTCTCCCCAAGCCCTTGACGTTGACCCATGCCCATCCCTCCAGGAAGCTGAAAATATCTCCAGTCTAGGCTGGTGCTTGCCCGGGGGCAGCCAACCCAGGGATGGCAAACCCAGAACCCAGCATCGCCTGCAGGGAGTGGGGCGGGGATGGGGCTGCCTGGGCCCTCCATCCACTCTTCAACTAGGGCAGACCCCTTCTTCCCTGACATCTGAAAACCCGGCTGTAGCTCCACCTGCTCGGTGTATAAATGGGGGGGCTGAGGCCCTGGGAGGAAAGCTGTCAAGCAGCTAAGGTACCAGTTGGGACGAAATTGCCCACCTCCTGCCTCCAGCCCAGGGCTCTCTCTTCTCCTTACACCACGATGAGGGGTGGGGGACGGTTCCCCAGCTAGACCTTTCCCCGTCACATCCCAGGGGCCTGGCTCTGCTCCAGTGCACACTGACCACGGGCCTCCAAGAACCGGAGACCCAGAACCACAAGAGAGAGAGACAGACAGAAAAAGACAGACATGCAGTTTGGTGCCCTGTGTTCCATCACCAGGATCAAAGCGGGGACATCTCATTCCCAAGAGGCCCAACACGACTTGGTCTGGCCTCCATGCACGCAGCTTCCTCCTCCTAGAGGGCCCCCAAGCCTCTGCCCCCCTGCACCCCAGGCCTGGCTGCAGGGCTGCCTCCTGCGCTCCCCTGAGCTCCTGGAGCTCCAGCCGGCCCCTCTGCTGGTTTGGCACTTGGTACAGGTGGCAGCAGAGGGGCACCTTAGGGTGGAGGGAAGTTGTCAAGTCAGCACAAAGGCAAACCTCCTCACACCTCAGGTGTTCGTGACAGTACAGGGGCTGGGGGCTTCGCCTGACGCCAGGAGGAAACTGCAGAACGCGGCCTGTCTGCGCAGCAGGACTGCTGGCCTCGGAAGCAACGGCATTTAAAACTCAGAGTGAGCTGAAGGACTTTTCCACATTCAACGAGCCTTAAACTCACAGGTACAAACGCAGTGTGTGCCCCTTGACTGGATGCAAATTCCAAACCAGGTGTAAGTTATTTGGGGGAAAGGAGAATGGGGGTTGGAGAGCAGATGTGAGGAATTATCATTTCAGGGGAGATATTGGGCCACTACAGAGAAGAACGTCCTCAGTCTTAGCAGATGCAGCCTGCAGCATTTTGGGGTGAAGTCTCGTGATTTTTACTTTTAAGCTGATCCAGAAATGTAGAGAGAGAACCACAATGTTCATTTTAAATCTAGACGGCGGGTGAAATCCATGGACCGCCCGCCCACAGTGTTCTGCTGCTGCGGACAGACCTCTGCCCCCACCTGGGCCCCGACACTGGCTGCTCCTGCTTAGGGGTTTGGAAAGGGCCATCGTTAAAGTTCAGACTCGTCCACCATCACAAGATGCCTGCCCTGCCGGTGGCTCTAGAGCTGCGAGTGGCTGAGGCGTTAGCTGGCCTCCGCCGGCTCCCACCTTGTGGGGCAAGGGCTCGTGGTGGGGTCAGCAGAAGGGATGGTGAAGTCATCCACACGGTTGAAGCTCCCCCCGCCCCCTCTCTCTGGCCAAACCCTTACAGTGAATCAGTGAGCACTAAGCTGATGCTGCTGTGCCCACTGACCTCTGGTTCTCCTCCCGACGGGGCCTGTGCTCAGTGGCTGAGTGCCCCGGACACTTCTCTCCTCTGTAACCCCTGCAGTGGGTCCTGGAGAGACTCATCAGTGGGAAAGGAAGTGACAGCAGGGACCAGATTTGTATGTGGCAGGGCACATGCCCAGCCTCCCAGAGGGCCTGGACAACAGCCCCAGTGTCTCCTCTGCTCCCACAGGTCTCACCCCTGCGTGACCTTCCTTGGGCCTGGGGCTCGGAGAAGGGGAGCTGCTGGCCCCTCAGGCCCCGTTCAGAGCTGGGGGGGGGGGGGGGGAGGAGGCAGATGTCCAGGCCCAGAGGGCAGACTGCTGTGAGGTTGCCAAGGTCACGGAGCCCTCACCCTCGCTGACAGATGGGAAGTGAGGCCTGGGACTTGCCCCAGGGAAGTCCCTGCACTCTGGGAGTCTGGTTCCACAAGCGGGCAGGCCGCCTGCCCTGCCCAGACACTCTGCCCGCCTCTTGCGGGATTGACCGTGCTCAGGGCTCCCAGGCCCAGAGGCCCGACGAGAAACACAGTGGGAACGCTTCTGGGTAGACCGGGAAACCACACGCAGTGGTCCCGAGGGTCCAACCCTCTCCATCCCAGTGGAGAATTGGGGAGGGAACTGGTTCGCAGTCTGGGAAGGGCCTTTGGAGGTGAGGAGAGTACGACAGGGATGCAAATGGAGGCCTGAGAAGCTCAAAGGCACCCTGGCTGGGAAGAAGTGGTTTGTCCCGGGTCCTGGAGTGACCGAGGGCGAGAGGGAGGGCAGGACCTGGCAGGGGCGGGGGAGGAGGGCTCAGAGGCAGTGGCGTGGCAGGTAGGGCACTGACTGTGGCAGGAGCTGCACGTCGTCCTCAGCCCCTGCTCCCAGCAGCTGTGACGTGTCTGCACACCCGGAGGCCTTCCAGCCTCAAGGGGCCAGGCTCTCGGAAAGGCCTTCCTGGGGGTCAGTCCGAAGCTGAACTGGCAGTGGGAGGGGCTGGGAGAGCACCCAGTTTAGTCCCTTCACATTGTTAAGAGGAGGGTAGGAGCAGACCCCAACCAGCGAACAGCCCAGAGCCCCACGGTCTGCAGGCCCCGCGGCTCCAGCGCCCAGGGCAGCTCCCCACCTAGCACCGTGTGAGGGCACAGCGGCCTCCGCCCAGGACGCCACCCAGCCCGCTGTCTCCTTTGGCCAAAATTCCCCAGGCTCCCTGGGGAGAGTGGGTCTTCTCCATGGACCCTGCCACCTCCGTACACCCGGGCAGCCCAGAGAGCCCTCCCGGGCACCTGCACAGTCGCCCGGCCCGGACCGTGAAGACACGCCCGCCCTCCCTCCCCTCACGGAGAAAGACACCCTCTGGGCCTGAGGCTTGCCACCATTTTGTATGACTGAATTAAAAACAAACCCAACCAAAAAAAATATAATATATATATACAAATTATATATATATATATATGTATATGTATAACACAGTGCGACCCCAGCACCCAAAGTATAAACTCTGGCACCAAGAAGAAAAACAAAATATTAAAATACTTTAGCTTCTTAGTATTGGGGAGGTTAAGGGGCCTCTCGGAACCCTCAGCCACAGGTCGCCGGGCAAGGCTGTGGGTGGCAGTGTCCCCAGCTCCCTGGGTGGGCCAGGGCCGAGGCTGGCGGGCGTGGGGACAACTATGTACATTGGAACACGTATACTGCAGACTCCTGAACCGCCCAGTCTTTTACCACAGGAAACACCACGCGTGTCACACCCCAGGGTGGAAAAGGGGTGGGACTGAGGCCTGGGTCTCTGGCCGAATGGCATGGCAGTGCCCAGGGTCCTGGAGGAGGCCTTGAGGACTGGGTGGGTACTGTAGGAGTCAGCGGTTCTTTCCCCAAAAAGGGCGGGTGAGACGTGAAGGTCTGACCCAGAGTGGATGTGGGAGTCGGGAGTTCTCTCGCGGTTCCACCCTCACATCCAGCCCGGGGCCCGGCTCTGGTCCCCAGCTGGCCCCTCGGGAGGGCCTGGCTCGAAACAGGCAGGGACGCGTCCAGTCCCACTCCCTGGTTTGGCAAAAGGCCCAGCTGGGCTCTTCTCCCTTACTGTCCAGAGGACAGGACATGTGGCAGCTGACACGGAGGGACACCCTGCTGGGCAGGGAATGGCAGGACGGAGGAGAGGGCATGGTTGGCAGGACACAGTGAGGGGCAGAACAGAGCCTCACGGACCCTTCCTACCAGGAGTGGCCTCCCCGTGGGGGCTGTGAGCGAGATGGACCTCTGGTGGCGAAGGCGGTCCTGGCGGCCACAGCCCCGGCGCAGGGGGGATGCTTGGAGGCGCGTGGGCCTGCCGGCTTCTCCCGGCCCTGCCTGGGCCTCGGCCGAGTATTGCTCAGACGTGCTTGGCCAGCCCAGGCCCAGCTCCGTTCTGCAGGTCGGTCTGGCTCAGCGTGCCGCGGGACGTCCCTGCCGTCACAAACGTCAGTCTGGCTGTGGTGGCCATGGCTACCTGGTGTTCTGGAGGTCCTCCCGCAGCCAGGTGGGCAGCGTCTGGCCCATCTTGTACAGCAGCTTGGAAAGCTCGATGTTGTGGTCCCGGTAATAGTCCTTCAGGAAGGCGCGGGACTGTAACAGGAAGGAGAGCTCAGGTCGTGGTGATGTGCGGACTCAGAGGGACCCCTCTTTAAAACCACCATCTGTTGGCACCTGCCCATATGCCCATTATTTGTCCACAGTCTTCTTCAAAATGGTTGCCTCCAAAAGAAAACTCCTACATAGCACGAGTACCAAACATAGCACATAAACACAAACACTTGTTACAGAGAGGAGAGGGAATGAGTTAATACCAGGGCGAGCCCAACCAGTGTGACTCAAGTGATTGAGTGTCAACGTATGAACCAGGAGGTCACGGTTTGATTCCCGGGTTGCAGGCTTGGTCCCCAGTGTGGGGTGTGCAGGAGACAGCCAATCGATTCTCTCTCATCACTGATGTTTCTATTTCTCTCTTCATCACCCTTCCTCGTTGAAATCAATTTTAAAAATATTTAAAAACCAGGGGTAAACACAAGGAGTCACAGCATGTCACCTTTCCCCGACATCCTTTGTACCTGCCTTCTCTCCTACAGGAATGCCTCACCCTTCCCTGCCACAGGTCCAAATGGGCCCCACCCTTTCAGGCCCAACTCCAGAGACCCCTCTAACCCTGACCCTGACCCTAATTCCCATAGCACTTCCGGGACCTCTCCTACAGCACGGAGCACGTCCTGCCTTGTATTCTACTTACTGGTGGATGTGACTCACTTCCTTCCTAGAATAGGAGCTCCTTGAAGGCAAAGAACATGCCTGATTCATCCTCGGAGCCCGTGGCATTCAGCCCTTGGTAGAAGGTAATTAATACTCATTTGGCTAAATCATTTCTGATCCACAACCCCACCCACATTTCCTCATCTTTAAGAACACGATCCAGGAAGTGCCAAGGCCCTTGACGTGCTGGGCTCAGGTAAAGGGGAAAGAAGGCTCCCTCCAGGACAGGGGCCCCATCCATTTTCCAGCTGCTGTGGGCAGTGTGTCCACCACTTACATCCAAGTCCATCTCTGGGTATTTCCGGCCCTTGCTTTTGCCCAGACACTTGGTTTTTCCTCCTTCAAGCAGCTGGCACCAAAATCCTTTCTTTGGATCAAACCTGTGGAGGTGGGGAAAGTCAGGGATGGGAGCTGGCCCAGCCCCCCTCCTTCCCACTGAGGCAATGTCCTCGACCCCAGGAAGGGCAGAGCCTAGGAGACTACAGAATCCTGCCCCCCACCGTGCCCTCTCTGGAGCCCACCGATTGCCTGGGGCTGACACTGGCATCTGCTGGCCCACATTTTGTCCTGGACGCCATTAAGCCCACCTGCCCCTCTTCCAGCTGGCAGCAGCTCACGTGGCCTGAGCCTCCCGTCTCTGGGCTGGCAGCCCCAGATCCTACATGAATCCATAACCTGGGCACCCCCACCTCATAGCCCGGAAACCTCTCCTAAGCATTCCCCAGCCCATGGGGTGAGCAGCACTCTTTTATCCATGAATCCAACAGAGGGGGGCAGTTTAGTGAGGTTCTTGTGTGTGTGTGTTTTTTTAATAAACTGTATTTTTTATGAAGAATTACAATACCTGCAGATGTATTTAAGCATGCCCATCATTGGGAAGTTTCGTGTTTTGGAGTGAATTTCAGAAATGACAGCACAAGGCTGCCTTTGGGATTTGAAGTGATGCTGGACCTTCTAAGGCAGTGGTTCTCAACCTTCCTAATGCCACAACCCTTTAATCCAGTTCCTCATGTTGTGGTGACCCCCAACCATAAAGTTATTTTCGTTGCTACTTCGTAACTGTAATTTTGCTACTGTTATGAATCGTAATGTAAATATCTGATATGCAGGATGTATTTAGGCGACCCCAGTGAAAGGGGTCGTGACCCACAGGTTGAGAACCGCTGTCCTAAGGCATTTTGGGGAGATGAGATCTGAAGCTGGGAGGGGAGGCATCCTGGCATCAGAATTCAGCCCCAAGCCAGGAACCGTGAGGAGACCGTGGGCACGAGGACAGCAGGAACACAGAGTTCACCTTTGGCAGGTGAAGGAAGCAGGGGTTTCTGAATGGGCACGGGGTGGGCAGAGACAATGGTGATGGCGATGACAGCAGCTGCACTTCTTCAGCATGACATGCCAGGCACTGAGCTAGGAGCTCCAGGTGAATGCTTTCATTCAGCACAGCGCCCCTCGGAGGGAGGGATCATTACCTATGGCCCCAACACACAGGTGAGGAAGTGCGGCCTGAGGAGCGAACACATTTCTCAAGGTCGCACAGCTAAGGAAGTCATGGACCTGGGTCCTAACACAGGCGTCTCTGACCTCACAGCTCACACCCTCAGCTGCTTCTGCCTCACAGTGAAAGACTGACTGCCCTTCCCCACCTTCAACTTCCAAGATAGTGAGGCGGGCACATTCCTGCTGCGAGACTTTTCTAAGAAGGCAGCCGGGAGGTGCTTCATTCTTCCTTCTCAAGACGCCCCTGGGCCAGCTGAGGGTGCTGTCTGTACCCAGCACGGGAGGCGGCCTGTGCCAGCCCTGAGCCCCGGCAGCACGCGCTGGGGAGGGCGCTCTCCGCACATCTGCACTGGGCTCTGAAGGACTGGGATTATTAGCCCTCAACAACATCTGTAGTTTGCTTTCCTAAAATTATATTAAGTCATAATCTAAGGCTAAGAAACCTTGTGAGAACTGGGGCTGCTCACTGTGGGTCTAACTCACTGGATGGAACATCTGAAAATGTCCCGCCCGACTGAACAGAACACCCAAGGAGTGGGGCCGACAGAGAACAGATTTGTAGATATGACTGAAGTCATGTTATTCGTAGCTTTTCTGCTAAATTGCCGTCAAGGACATGCATCCGTCCTCGCACCGGTTGCTGCTAATTGATCTGTGTCTCTCCCGGTGTCTGGCCCAGCTGCCTGCTCAGGAAATCCCGTTCGAAGGCCCCACTCACGCCAAGGCTTTGTGGTAGTCGATGGTGTTGGCCACCCCGAGGAACTTCTGCACTGTGTCCATCACTTTGGCAGGTTCTGTTCTCAGCAGTTTGCCATCCAAGACCAGAATCTGTAAAAAAAGAAAAGATAAAGGCATCCATTGAACCTGCTTTCACTCCCGTGGCAAAGGGTCCCCAGTTTTCTGGGTCAGTAGCCATGGTTACAAACTGGGGTTCCCGCACTCTGGAGAGTCTGTTGCCTCCCCTGCCTCTGAATGGCAGGTGTCCCTGACCCTCTGCCCTCCAAGCCTAGCTCCCTGGTCTCTGCCCGCCTCCCCGACCGAGGTCATCCCGTCCTCCCATCCCCACAACTGCCCTCGCTGGCCTCTCCTCAGGCTTCTTGGCCCACATGTTGCTCTCCTGCCTGAGTCCTCCAAGTTTTTCTAAACATGTCTCGTGATCTGGCCCTGCCTACCCCTCCAACTAGGTTCTCCCTCCATCACCACACCCCCAAACCCCCTCCCAGGGACCTACTCCAGGGCTTTCTGGGTCCCCTTAAGAATACAGCCTCTGTTGTGATGGAACAAGGACTTGGGGATTCTCACACATCGACCTTGGGATAAACAAGACTGAAACCTTAGAGGACCCCAGAGGTTTAACCTGACAGGGATGGCATTTCTGGCCCCGTGACTGGTGGGAGAGGTTTAGAGGCTCTTTGCCAACCACAGCACGCCCATACTGTGCTGGCCCTCCCGGGGGGAGGGATAGGCGGCTACCTGGTTGGCGTGAAAGGCGCTGAGCCAGCGCTCAATGTGGGTGGCGTACCAGCCGGGGACCAGGCAGCGGTTCTGCAGGGCACGCAACTTCAAGGACGCGTCGGGCCCGGCCGTGATCACCTCGTGGAAGGTGTACTTCAGGGCCACGGGGTCATCGTGGGCTCGCTGGTGCTGCGGGCAAGGGGAGAGGGTCGGCAGGTCACTTGGAGGGCAAGCAGGAAGAAGCTTGAGTGGGCGAGCAGCCATGAGGCCGCCAGAGCCCTGGGTTCAAGTCTACCGTCTGTTTCACATCTGACCTCAGGGAAGTCACTGGCCCCTCCGAGCCCTAGTTTCCTCATCTTTGCAAGACACGAGTTGGAGGAGCTCAGTTTCCAAACACTGGTAATTTCCATGCCATCTCTGTAATTTCTGCAATATCCACAAACCACCTGCACGTGCCAACGTCAACATACTCTTCTTTACATTGACTCATCTTTCTTATTCACTCACAGTAATTTCTAAAGAAAACCCACTCTCCCCTCCATAAATGGAAAACTAGAACAGTTGTTGCACATGGGAAGTTCATAAATACAATAAAAATAATGCACAGTCAGACACAAACATCTGCTACAGGCCCGGACCCCAAAGCTCGCGCTCTTTGTTGAAGACACAGCCTAGCAGTGTCAGAAAGGACTTCTGTGCCACTTGTGCCAAATTAAAAATTCCTCCTTTATATAAATCAGAAGGTGTTACAGACTGAATGTCTGTCCCCTCCCCATATGTGGAAGCCCTGACCCCGATGTAATAACATTGAAGGTGGGGCCTTGGGGCCGTAATGAGGCCGAGATGAGGTCACACGGGTGGGGCCCTGGTGATGGGATTAGCGTCCCTGTAAGAAGAAGCGCCAGCGCGCACGCCGCTCTCTTGGCCACGTGAGGACACAGTGAGCAGGCAGTCGTTAACAGCAAGGAAGAGCACCCTCATCAGGGGCTGCACTAGTGCCACCTTGATCTTGCATTTCTAGCCTCCAAAACTATGAGAAATAAATTCCTGTTTTTTAGGCCACCCAGTCTAGAATATCTCATTATGACTGCCTGAGGAGACTAGGACAGAGGGACTGGAAAAACTGGACAGGGGGAAATGCCAGGTTTCAACCACCTGAAATAATGCCAGGAGTCCTCAGCATCCACAGAATTCCCATGGTCCAGAGATCAGGGACCTGCCGGCCAGGGGGACCCTCACCTGTCCCCATACTCCCACTGAGGGTTGCACCCGGCTCAGAGGAAAGGGGGAGGTCTGTGGGACAGAGAGCAAAAGGGGTCTGTAGCCAGCCCCCTGCCAGTGCTGTGGGCACAGTGAGGCCCCAGTGAGGAGACAGCCACCAGCACCCAGGTGCACAGGCTCAGAGGGGACAGGGAGCTGCCTACAGTGGCCTGAAGAGGCCTTTCTGGATTGGCTGGTAGACCAGGTATCCTCAAGACCCCAGCACATCACATGGCTGGCAGGGAAGGACACCACCAAAAGGGCCCGTTAAGTCACGTTGTCGAAATCAAACAAAGTCATAGTTCTCCAGGACAGACTAGGAGTCATACTCTGACATGGATATAGTTCAGGTGACTTCCCAACCTGATCAGGCGTTGCATCCTCCACTGAGAATGGCAGATCCTATTATCTTGTCCTCCTCTGAATTCCTGCCCCTGCCCCTCCCAGTATCCAGTGAGGGGCCACAGGTAGTATCAGCCCAGATCACTATTCACCAAATCAAAGTAGACCCAGCTCCACCTCTTTTTGGCATCAGAATGAGAGGCAGGACCCCAGAAAAAACTAGGAGGGTGGGCAGATAACTGTTGGCTGGGATTCACCAAGGATTTCTGCCGGCTTCCTCCACCAGGCTAGAAGCACCATGGAGGTGGGATTCCATTCTTACCCACCACCACAGCCCAGGAGCCGAGCTAGGCTGTGACTAGTAAATATTTGGTTTTTGCTGTTCTTGTTGTTTTACTGATTTCAGAGAAACGAAGAGGGAGAGACAGAAACATCAATGATGAGAGAGAATCATTGATTGGCTGCCTCCTGCACACCCCCTTCTGGGGATCAAGCCCACAACCTGGGCATGTGCCCTGACTGGGAATTGAACCTCGACTTCCTGGTTTATGGCTCAATGCTCAACCACTGAGCCACACCAGCTGGGCTAGTATTTGTTGAACGAATGAGTAGCAGAGAGCCCCACGCCCCCAACCAGGGCCCTGCTCTGGCCCAGCTCACCTGGTACCAGGAATAGGCCCGGTCCGCTGGGTTGATGAGGATGGTCAGGACCTTGGCTTTGGGCAACAGGGCCGCTGCCCGCCGGGGAGCCACTTCCGAATCAAAGTAGTTGGCGCTTTTCTCAAAGTAGAAGTCGGAGGTGGTGTTGGAGGGGATGGGGAAGAACTCCATGTACCTGCAGGACCCAAAGGGGGGCTCACAGTCAAAACTCCTGAGGAAGGGGTTGAGGGACACAGCACAGAGGGCGAGGGTCACTGGGGGTTGAACTTCCGAAAGCAAGCAGCACACATGGCTCCCAGCCAAGCAAGGACTTGCTTCTGGCAGGGATGCTAGAGGAATGCCACTTGGCAGTCTCCCTTTCTGGAAATCCTTGGGGCGAGGACAATCTGAAGACTATGGGTTATGTCTCCATCCTAAACAGATGCTCCCAGAGTAAAACGGACAGGGCCCTAACTCCCACGGCCACCAGGGGGCGAGCTGGGACTCTGAGAGGCCTGACAGTTTCCCAGATGAACCTCCCATATCCCACCCGGAGTGACAAGTCCACACTAGTCCTTTGAGACCATCTCTAAATTGAAGGCCCCTTAAAAAACTGGATGAACATTCCAGAACCCCCAGGGGCACCTACTCAAGCAAAACAGAGGGACATTTTCAGGGGTTCGTGGGAACCCAAGTGCACGAGTTCCACCCTAAAGTGTGGGATCCCTACCCTAACCTGTGAGACAGGGGCCCTCAGGGGGGTCCCAGGGATGTCCCTCATCAGAGCCACATGAGGCAGGTGGGCTCCTGCACCCACCCTTCACATCTACGAAATCAAAACCTCGGGCATGGGCTGAGGAACTGCTCTTCTCTCTTTTCTTTCTTTCCTTTTCCTTCCTTCCTTCCTTCCTTCCTTCCTTCCTTCCTTCCTTCCTTCCTTCCTTCCTTCCTTCCTTCTTCCCTCCCTCCTCCTTCCCTCCCTCCTCCCTCCCTCCCTCCCTTCCTCTCTTCCTGAGTTTTCTTCATAAAATGCATCTTTCTGTCCACAATTCATTGTAATACTTAGATCAAGAAAGCTCTGAAAACAGAAGCTTTTCCCCATGTTTTTAGCGAAGCCATTTGGCAGCAAAAGCTGACATTAATCTTACTTGGTATAAATATTCACATACTTTGCCACGGACGTATTGATGTGTTTGCTAATGGAGTGCTGCCCCAGACCCTGCTGACGGTGCTGCTAAATAGATGGTGTCACGGCACAGCCCTCCCTGCAATCTGAAAAACGCTGGCTTCCAAGAATACATCTCACCACAATAGGTTCAATTTGTTTTTTCACTTTTAAAAAAATAAGTTTGTATTGATTTTTACTTTTTTATTTTTTTAGAGAGAGGAAGGGAGAGGAAGAGAGACAGACAGGGTGAAAGAAGTACTGATAGGCTGTCTCTGCATGCACCCTGGGGCATGTGCCCTGACCGGGAATCAAACCAGTGATGTTTGGGTGCCTGGGTGGGACAACACTTCATCAACTGAGCCACACCGGCCAGGGCCACAATAGGTTTTAGATAGTGGCAGCCATTTTAGAGATATAGACAGACAGACACGTAGGTAAGTGGGTAAATAGAGAGATGGAGAACAAGAGACATAGACAAATAGCGAAAATGAATCAGAAGAATTGCCATAATCTCTCCACCCAGGTAAACTACTGACATAACAATAGTACAGGAGAGTAACACATGTGTAAGGTAAGAAAAGACAAACAGTAGAGAAAGATGTAAATTGAAAAAGGAACGTAACACCGTCCCCGCGCGGTGCCTACACCATGGTAACCTCGGGTGACGGCTTCTGATGGAAGCTGCGATGTCAGCCACTCCCCAGGCGACTCCCTGGAGGCTAGCGAGCCGCCTCTGAAGGACCCACAGACACTTTGGTTCCGAGGTCAGCCACAGTGGGACGGGCCAGCTCTCGGGCCAGAACAATTGGATGTTAGCCCCTTGCTCTGTCCCCAGCTCTCGGGACCTTGGCTGAGCCCCTGTCCTCCTCTGGGACTCAGGATGCTTCTGTGCGAGCCAGGGCGGGGCTGGACTCTGACCCTGAGCAGTCAAGCAGAGGGTCATCGAGCGTCCTGTCCGTGACAAGTTCCAACACCGTGGCTCCAGGGTCACCCCACTCTGTCCGTTTACAGGAACTTTAGCTGCGTGTGAGCAAGCACAGCTGCTTCCTGCCGTGGCTACGTGGACCTCCTCCCGGGCAGGCTCTATGGCGGCCTTCCTGTCCCTCTGCGGACAGAAGGGCCCACTCACCAGTCGATGCCTTTGTGATAGTTTTGGCCGTTAAAAAACTGGATCTCCTCGAAGGTCTCTGAGCTGGGGTAGTTGCTGCTGAGGTCGGGGTGCATGCCCAGGAACAGGTAGAGGGCCGTGGTGCCTGCAGGACGGAAGGGGGCTGACACCAGGGCCCAGCCCGGAGCCTGTAATCCTGGGGTCTGGTTCTAGCTCTCCACTGGGCACTGAGAGATCCTGGGGAAGTCCTTTCCCTTCTCTGGGGCTTAGTCTCCACATCTATACAGTGAAGGAATCACACTAAACCTGGGATGGCAAATGCATGGCATGCATGTGAGCACCCCAACCCCTGCACCCACTGCAGACATCACACCCGCCACAGCATTCTCATCCCTAAACGAGGACTGGAACTCAGAATCTTTCTCACCACGTACCCCAGCAGCCACACCCAACTCAGGACAGGCTCCTCCTAATCCCAGAACTAGGTCTAGGATTATGCTGGGCCCTTTGGGCCCTGGGCCTCTGTTCTCCCTGGCACTTGGGAGGAGCTCAGAGAAAAGGGCGCTCCAGGCCCTCCAGGCTGTTGCTGTGAAATTCTTGAAGGGCTACGAAATCTGGCTCCAGGCGTCTTCTCCTGGGTGCCCTCACTCATGCCCCTCCCCTATTTGACAACCCAGGACCTAGCCCTCCTCCTTCAGAGAGCTCACTCCTTGTGTGTGAGCCTATGGTCACACACTGCAATGAGAGGCCCCAGCAGAGAAGGAGACTCCAGGGGTGGGCAAACTTTTTGGCTCGAGGGCCACAATGGGTTCTTAAACTGGACTGGAGGGCCGGAACAAAAGCATGGATGGAGTGTTTGTGTGAACTAATATAAATTCAAAGTAAACATCATTACATAAAAGGGTACGGTCTTTTTTTCAATAGTTTTAGTCATTTCAAACGGGCCGGATCCGGCCCGCGGGCCGTAGTTTGCCCACGGCTGCTTTAGACTCTGGTGATTAAGAGTGTATGTTCTGGCCCTGACCGGTTTGGCTCGGTGGATAGAGCGTCAGCCTGCGGACTGAAAGGTCCCAGGTTCGGTTCCCGCCAACGGCATGTATCTTGGTTGCGGGCACATCCCCAGTAGGAGGTGTGCAGGAGGCAGATGTTTGTCTCTCATCGACGGTTCTAACTCTCTATCCCTCTCCCTTCCTCTCTGTAAAAAATCAAATATACATTTTTTAAAAAGTGTATGTTCTGGCCCTGGCCAGTGTTTCTCGGTGGTTACAGTGTTGGCCCGAGAACCAAAGGGTCCCTGGTTCAATTCCAGTCAAGGGCACGTACCTGGGATGCAGGTTCCCTGTCCCGATTGGGGCTCATGCAGGAAGCAACCAATTGATGTGGCTCTTTCACATTGATGTGTCTGTCTGTCTGTCTGTCTCTCTCTCTCCCCTCTCTCATCCTCTTCTCCTCCCATCTACTCTAAAATCAATGGAAAAAAATATCCTCCAATGAAGATTAACAAAACAAAACAAAAAGTATGTTCTAGGGTCACAGAGGCCAGGGTTCAAGGCCTAGATCTGCCATTTCCTAGCTGACTGTGTTAGAGGAAGTCACTTGACTTCTCTGAGTCCCGAGTTTTTTGCTATAAGATGAGGGTACATGTTTGTGTCTTAGAGAGTGTGGATGGCAGATACTTAGCCATCGTGTCACCACTTCCTCCTGCACCTCTGGCAGACACGGCCAACTGATCACATGACTAACTGATCGCAGTCCTCTCTGCACTGAACCGGTTTTGCCTGGCATTGCTCGAACTTGCTGAGCAGCTGATCTGGGCTTCTCTGCCTAGACTGGAGACTTCCACGTCACAGGGAGAGCTCCCAGAGGCTGCAGGGGTTCTGGACAGATTGAAGAATTCCATGCCCACCCCACCCTCCACCCTGCTCCCACTGCCACATTGACAGGCAATTCCTATTCACCCCAACTTCACTCCTACTTCCTGGGAAAGAGGGGGCAGGTTATGGGGGAATGGGGCCAGGGCAAGGTAGTCTCCAAGATTCCATGCTGAGACAGTAGGCGATGGGGGAGGCTAGTCAAGAGAGAAGAGACCTGCCTGTTTTCTGGGGGCCAATGATGAGGAGTTTGGGGAAGCGGTCACATGTCTTCTCCTTGGACCAGATGTCTTTGTGGCGCTTGTCCTCGCAGGGGTCCTAAAACAGGGGAAGAGATGTCAGGGGGCCAAGAACCCAACGAATGGGCCAGGGCACGTGGATTTGTGGCTCTTACACCCCCACTGATGGGCTTTACTATGTGAGTCCTTGTCACATCCCCACCTCGAGACACTGGGCAGCTGGCAGGCGGGGGCCATTTCTGATCAGTCCTAGCAAAATGCTCAGCCCAGTGTTTGTCATGCAAAGGGAATTCATAAGGGGCTGTTGAATTTAGCTGCCTGAGATGTGTCTGAACCAGGGGTCAAGAACTTTTACTATGAAGTTTAGTAAATCTTCTGAAACGTTAGCAAATATCTTAGGCTCGGAGCCTACCCCGTCTCTGTGGCAGCTAGTCAGCTCCACTGTGCAGCATGAAAGCAGTCGCAGGCAGCACATACAGGACTGGGCGCGGCTGGGTCCCAGGAAGACGATAAAAATAGACCAGGGCTGAAGTCTGTGGACCTCTGCTCCCAACTGTGAGCATGTCATCGAGTCCAGCTTCTGTTTCTAGTTTTGACAGTCCCCAGGGGCAGGCTTCCCCGAGAATGGTCTCCCTCCACCCTCCCATCAGCCCCTTTCCCATGGCTCAGGGCCTGCTGCAGTGAGGAGGGCAGGGAGGACTAAGAGTCTAGCTGGGCTGGCAGATCCTTTCTATACTTCCTCTGTATCATACTCACTTACGGTCGTACTGCTGTTTTTTCAGAAGCTGTGTGTGAGTGTGCATGCCTGTAGGTCTGTCTGTGTGGGAGGTGGACACGTATGTGCATGAGAACAAGTGAGTCAGCCCATGCTGAGAGCAAATGTGCACCTGAGTTTACACTCAAGAGTCTGAGGGTGTGAGGTTGAGCCCTGCCCACATCTGAAGCTTGAGCCTGTGAGCAGTGGGCATTCCCTCCCTGAGACAAGGCCTCCAAGCGCCCCCCTCCCACCCACCTGCCAGAGCGGGTCCTTCTCTTCGGAGAAGATCTGGAAGTACTTCTGGGCCAGCTGCACAGGGGGCAGCGTCTGCAGCCGGAGGTTGGTCCAAGAGTGCAGGAAGCGCACCAGGTGCTTGAAGGTGTACAGGCCCAGGCGGTCATTCCCGTAGTTGGACAGGTGCGTCATGAAGATGCTAATCTGCTCCAGGAGGGGGGAGCGGGGGGAGAGGCAGGGGCTGGTCAGCCTCTGAGCCACCGTCACCCACTTCTGACCTTTGGGTCTTGCTTCAGCTTGAAGGGCCACTCGATGACCAGCCCAAGGTTCATCGGGGCCATCCACAGTCTCGCTGTGTGACCTGGGGCTGGGCACTGCCAGGGGAATGCAGATGTGACTGACCAACTACTGCAGCCCTGAGATGGAAGCTGGCCTTTCTGGGCGTTCTGTTCCATGTTTTTGGCGGGGTGGTGGTACATGGAAGATAAGGTAATACTTAGGTATCCCATAACGCTAAATAGTACCACCACTTGATATCTATTTAACATCCTTTAATTAAAAAAAAAAAAATATATATATATATATATATTTATATATTTATATATTTATATATATTATTGACTTTAGAGAGGAAGGGAGAGGGATAGAGAGATAGAAACATCAATGATGAGAGAGAATCATTGATCGGCTGCCTCCTGCATGCCCCCTACAGGGAATCAAGCCCGCAACCCTGGGCATGTGCCCTTGGCCGGAATAGAACCTGGGACCCTTCAGTCCGCAGGCCGACGCTCTTATCCACTGAGCCAAACTGGCTAGGGCTATTTAACATCTTGATATCTATATTAAAGCACAAATTATTATTTCCACTTTACAGATAAGGAAAGACAGGCCCAGAAAGTCCAGGTAAATAGTTTACACTGTATGTATTATACACAGTTTACATATTGTTTACTGTATACATTAACATATACTTATATATTTACACACTCACACCAAGACTGGAGAGAGAACGTGGTTTAGAATGCTAACACTGCTCTCCTGAAGTGCGAGGTTATAAAAGGAAAAAAAGCTCGGATTCCCTGCACAGGCCATGCTGCGAGCAGGGACAGAGCCGAGGCTGGAGAGTGGGTTTCCCAATTCCCGGTCCTCACACCCGCTCTACCCCTGCTCCCAGGCCCAAGGAGGCCTGCCTCAGGCAGAGAGGCACTGCAGCCCACCTCCCCGCCAGCCGAGGCAGAGGAGCACTCACGGGATTGAGGAGCACGGTGAGGAAGAGCTCGCCCCCGTTGATGATCTTGTCTAGCTCGCTGGAGCCACCAGGGTACTCGCTGTAGAAGATGGTGTGTGTGAAGAGGCCGCAGGTCTGCCGCGGGAGGACCTGGGGATGGGGACAGAGAGGAGCTCTGGCACCTCCAGGCATGGATGGAGGAGGGAGGACCCCTCCTAAGAGCAGCCAGGGTGTTTATTATCTGTCTCCTCCCATGAAACTGTGGGCTCCAAGAAAGCAGAGAACTCATCTGTCTTGTTACCACCTCATCCTGCAGTTAATTCAAGGGCCTGGTACTGAGGGGGTTGGTGGGTTGATGGAGGGTGGAAGGATGGATGGATGGATGGATGGATGGATAACGGATGGATGAACCTGGCCTCCCCATAGCTGCCCCATCTGGGCTGACAACTCATCCTTTCAGCAGTTCAGGCCAAAAACTCTGGAGTCATCCTGGACTCATCTTTCTCCCACACCCGACATCCAACTCATCAGCAGACCCTGCTGGCTCTAACTCCTAAGTAAGTCCAGAACCGTCCCAACATGGCCCCCTGTCCAAGCCACCACCATCTCTTGTCTGGAAGCCTGCACCTAACTGATCTACAGCTTCCCACTTTGTCTCCAACAGTCTCTGCTCCACACAGCAGCTAAAATGATGGAAACCCTTTTAAAATATGTCAGATACTAACAGCTCACCAAAGCAGTGCTTCGAAGGAGTGTGTGCACACCGCCTGCTGGCTGCGGGGCCCACTCACCATGATGCCATTGTGGACGAAGCCACGGCGGTAGCGGGCCGGCTTCAGGTGGGGGTACTCCTCCGTGCTGGTCACTCGGATGTTCCACACCTGCTTCCAGGCCTCGTACAGCTGCACGTGCACAGGGTACACGCCCGAGTGGTGGGGCGCCACTGCGTAGCCCATGTCTGTGGGAATGCCGTGCTCCTGGGGAGAGGAGGGCCAGGGCAGGGTGAGCGGGGCCCCATCCCCTCTGGGCCTCATTTCCCTTTGCAGAATGGGACAGAGAAATCAGCGGCTAGAGCAGCAGGGCCGTGGGCCCAAGCCCTCGTGGTACAGAAGGGGAAAGGGAGGCCCAGGAGGGAAGGGGATGTGCTCAGAGTCTCCACGCAAGGGACTCGCTGAGCTGGGACTCTAACTCTCGGCCCAGTGTCGTGCCCTCCAGCACCCAGGAGCGAGGAACAAAATGGGGCTTTTCCTGCCAACCTGGGCCTGGAACTGGCTGTGGCCCAGGCAGAGCTAGCACCCGCCTGGCTGAGGGAGCCCCCCATCCTAGCCTGAAGGGAAGAGCCTGGACTCCGGAAACAAACGGGCCTGGGGTGAAGTCTCACTAGCTGGTGTGGCCGCCCTGCACTTCAGTTTCTTGTCTAACAGGGAGGCTACCAATACCCGCCTATTGGGGTCTCTGTGAGGCATCCATGCGACAGGGGCTACAAAGATGTTAAATGAGGAGCTGTCAGACCGAACTGTGAAAGCAGCCAGAGGCCCGCCATCGGGCCCCAGCCAAGCCCCTAGCCCACCCGGCTCTGCCCCGGAGGGAATCTTACTCACGACAGCGAACTTCTTGTTCAGGGCCATCTGCTCAGCCAGCACAGACTGGTTGTGGAAGAGGTGGGGCTGCATGTGGCTCCACATGTGGGGGAACCACCAGAACTCCTTCACGTAGGACAGCAGCAGGTCGTCCCCAGCATCCTCAGCATCGGTACCTGCAGCCCGAGCACAGGCAGCTCAGCCCAGCCACCTGCCCTGAGGTCCTCCAACCTGGGCAGGTGGACAGGCTGGGAGGAGGCAATGCCACGCCCCTCAGGAGCTTGGCACCGTTGCCTGAACTACAGCACAGGAGCAGACACTGACTATTTCTGTAATTTCTTAAAATCCAAGGACTCTTTAAGCAGAAATAGTAGTCATTTAAAAAGGTGGGGTAGAGGGGGTGACAAGAGGGAGAACTTCCCCAGAACAGCACAGCCTGCAGCCAGGGAGGCTCAGGGGGAGCCAAGACATGCTATTGCTGTCCCCAACGGCCTCTGCCTGGGGCTGTGACTGTTCTGTGAGCTGTTGGCTGGGGGGTGGGAAGGGGGGGTACAGGGATCAAATGTGCCCCTAATATGGCCCATCAGACCACATGCTGCCCGTGGCACAGTGCTCTGAGGGGCTGGACGTAACGGCCCGTGGAGGTTGCTAGCGGGCACAGCCGGGCCACTTACCTGTGTGGAAGAATTTCCCTGAGTAGCCCAGGTTGAAGGTGAAGTTTGGGATGTGTGTGCGCAGTTCATTCTGTGTATCAAACAGAGCCTGGGACGAGCAGAGGAGAAAGAAAGGGTGAGGGGAGAGCCAGCAGCTCCCATTCCTCCCACGGAGGCCTGGAAGTGTCCTGCTGTCCCAGGACCGGCTAAAACGTCCGTGGGGCCTGGGGGAAATGAAAGCATGGGACTCTTACTCAAAATTAAGAATGACAGAAAGGCAGAGCAGAGCATTACACCTGTACGAGCCCTTCGGAGCACGGGGCCCTGAGTGGCTGCACGGGCCCCACGCCCCTGAAGCCAGTCCCGAGTGGCCACCACACCAGGCTTCTGGCAACGGGAGTCCCAGACCCTAGGCTGGCTCTGCTGTGTCCTTGAGAAGGCTTCATAACTTCTCCCGGCCTCAGTTCCGAGTAATGGGGGCAACAGCATCTCCCTATGGGGCTCTTGGGAGAATTAAATAAGATTTTGCATGTTGAACTGTCTGACATTTGGTAAATGGTGACGTCATATGTCTGTCTATGTCACTGCCACTGTAAGCCCCAGATCTTCACATGTCAAATGTGGAGGACTTCTCCTCACAGGGGAATGCAAGGCCAATGTCAAAGGACCATGACCTTTCCAACGATGTACTGGGCACCCAGCAAAGCAATGTTCCCAGGCATGGCACGCCCAGTGCTTTGCAAGTCAATGAAGGGTTGTTGACACTTCTGAAACAAACCTACAGTTGTACTCTGGGATCAGGACTCGAAAAAAACATCCTTGCATGACACACAAGGCTATCCAAGAGCCTGCTATCCAAACACCGCAGACTCCGTGTCCTGGCCCCCTGGGCCGCCACCGGCATCTTACCATAGCCACACACTGCCTGGTGGACACGCACACTCCAGCCGGGTGGCCTTGGGTGAGTTACTTCATTTCTCTGAGCCTCAGTGCCCTGTTCTGTAAAATGGGACTTACAACAAGGCCCACCACACAAGGCTGCTATGAGGGTCCGATGAGGCAACACACAGAAGGCCTGAGCCCAAGCCTTGCCCTCGCCAAGCCCTGCATAAGCAGCTGTTGTTGGTGTTATGTAAATTGCACTGACAGCTAGTAGTGCCCCAGTCTCTGAAAGAAAGGCTCAGTGCAGCCTGTGCTTGGGATTAAAGAAAAAAACCCACTCTGTCCTTTTTGACTCACAAGGACATTTAAGGCAAACGGGACCCTGGCTGGAGAAGCGTGGTGCAGTCTGCACTGAGCTAAGCGAACGGCAGAGGGCGCTTTTATTCGTATTTTTTACAGAAATGGCTCCAGACTGCTAGCATTCTTCCCACTCTAAAATAGAGAAAATAAGGACAAGGCAGGGGGCAACCCCAGGTTCATGGGGATACAGTGAGCCTGGAGCCTGGTTGCCACATGAGGTCAACCCTGGACAGGCAGCGAAGACCCAGGTTACATGGGAGAGAGCAAGGTTGGGCCATCAGAAGACCATCCTAAGAAATCTCAGGAGAAAACACGATTCATAAAGCAGACCAAAGCAATGCTGCCCTGTCCCAGGAGGCGGGAGCCGGGAGGGCTCAGAGTCTGGCTGTCTGCACCCCCCTCACGCCTCACCCCAGCACCTCTGTGAAAGCCTAGGATATCAGAAAATAGCCTGAAACCCTCCCGTCCACCCATCTTGTCACTTTGTAGCTGAGGCTCAGAGATGGGAAGGGACCTGCCCGAGTCACCCATGAGGGTCAAATTGGAACTTGGAGCCAAATCTTGATTCCCGAGACAGTGCCTACTCCCTATACCATCTGCTCTGCCCTTCTAGGGAGGTGAGAGGAAGAGTAGAGAATTTACTCTTGACCAAGGCAGGAGTGTGACCCCCCACCCCAGCCTTCCTTCCAGGCCCAGGGCCAATCCCAACAGTGATATCAGAGGATGGAGACAGCAGGTGAAAAGCATTCCTCTTGGAAGTCTCTTTTCCAATCCTCCTCCCAACATCAAAAGGAGTCTCCGTTTGGCGCTAATATGTCTCTGACACTTGCTAATCCGTAGAAGAGCGAGCGGCCAGAGGCAGCAGTGTCTCAGCAGAATTTAATCCCCGCTTTGTTTTCACTGGAGCTATTGTTATGGTTGCCCTCTATTCACAGCAACCGACACTGATTCCCCATTTCTCACTAGTGAGGGCCTTTCCTTCGTAAATAACTTTGAGTAAAATAGCGAGTAGATGAAAACTCTAAGACTGCGCGATGGCCTTAATGTGCTGGCTTCTCTTTAGTAGTGAGCCGTTTGTAAAACTTCCTGGTTTGCAAACTGCTTGTACAGAGAGTTTAGTTTGGTAAACACACTTTGAATTAAACACATGCATTCCACTGTCTATACAGACCTCAGTTGAAATATGCCTTGTGTATGGCTCCAGCTCTAGCTCTTGTTTAAGGAGTTTGTAGGAACTCTGGGACTGACATATAAACATTTCTGAGAGTTAAAAATCATGTTTGGATTACAAGGCGGGTGAAGGACCCTGCCCAGCTCCCATCTGTGTCTCCATGGCTGGGTCTCTTCCTCCAGATGCAAATTCTTCCAAAGTCAATACTTCGACATAGTTTTAAATGACACTGGCTTCAAATAAGGCAACTAATAAAGCCAACTGGCCAAGGGAGGGCCTAACAGTGCAGGGGAGATGCAGACAGCCAAGTCCTGACTGAGTACAGGAAGGTGTGCAGGTCGGCCGGCCCCCCTCCCCGGGCTGGTACCCAGGCCCTACCTTCACGTCCTCCACCTTCATGCGCGTGCCCTCCTTGCCCACAAAGATGTCGTCGATGTCCACCAGGATGTAGCGGTCCAAAGGCAGCGAGAGGCGCTTGCCGGTGAGGAAGGCCACGGCGTCCACGAAGACGAGCTTGTGCAGCCAGAAGTTGAGGTTGTTGCCGAAGAGCACGCGCTGGATGCCGTCATGGAGGCCCAGGTCCTGGACCACGGTGGTGTGCAGCGCGGCGTGCAGGCCGGCGTCCGCGCCCAGGTGCGGCATGGACTCGGAGGAGCGCGTCTTGGCCAGCAGCACTGGCTCGTAGGTGGAGTGGTTGGACTGGAACACGGTCCAGTCCTCGCCGGGCAGCATACCCTTCTCCACCTCGCTGGGCCGCGTCACGTAGAGCAGCGGGGACCTGGGGTTGATGCTGCAGTCCTTCAGGCCCAGGTTTGAGTGCAGGAACAGGGGGAAGCCTTTGAGCTGCGCACTCAGCAGGCTGTTCTCGTTGGCCTGCAGTCGGGGTGAGGCAGGGAGGGGGAAACAGAGCCATCATGTCCAGGACCCTAAGGGGCCACAGAATCTCAAGTGTGCAATAACAGTAATGTCACTCACCTTCCGGGGGGTTACCACGCACACCTCTGGCCCTGTGCTAACCGGGCCACGCAAACGCAGCTTCACCTGTCACAGTAACATACTAGCTAACTCGTATGCTGTCCTTACCGGAGCCAGGGACTGGGTTCAAGCGCTTTGTATGCGGTTGCTAGTAATCCTCAGTGACCCCCACCGTGGAGGAGGCCCTGCTATCATTCCCATTTTACAGATGAGGAGAACAAGGCTCAGAAAGGCTAGGTAACTTGCCCAAAACCACAGAGAGAGAGGTCCAGCAGTGAGAGTATGGACTCTACCAGCAGACTACCTGGCCCTGGGCAAATTATGTAACCTCTCTGCCTCAGTTCCCCTGCTGTAAAATGTGCCTGAGGATTCGGTAAGTAGCTCATGAGGTGGTGGAGGAGGATGGTGTAATGCTGGCAGAAGTGCTTAGGACAGGGCCGGCGGCATCAGCAATTGCTCATTCAGTCCTCACATGAGCCTCAGGAGGTGAGGAAACCGGCTTTGAGGGGAGTGCGGCCCTCAGTCACACAGCGGTCAGGAGGAGCCAGTTTGCAGCCGGTGGTCTGGTTCCGGAGCCCATACACCTGACCACCAGGCTCTGTTTCCTGGGGGTTTCCAAACTGCTTTGGCCACACAAACCTTCCTACAGGGGAAATCTGAGGTGATGCCAGTGTAGACGAGATCAAAGAGGAGGTATCTACTGGGGGTGCAGACACTCTACCCCATAGCTCTCCCAACCCCCATATACCCCAGTACCCTCAAGGCCATCCCCTCACAGGAACCCAACTCCCCATACCTCCCTTCTCCTCCCAGGGTCTGCTGCTGCCCAGGTTCCTGGGGACCTGCAGACAGTACCCTCAACTCCCACTTCTCCTCTTCCCTAGGCTCACAGCCCTGCTCCTACACACCCTCTCTCACCCTCCCAGCCACCTGCCTCTGGATATGGTATAATTTGTCCTTGTCTCTGTGCCATTCTGTCTTCTTGGCTTGGAAAACTCCTGCTCATCCTTCAAAACCCAATGCATATACCCTCTTCTCTGCACTGGCCTTCCTGGGACCATGTTAAAGCTTCAGCTATAGCCCTTTTTACCTTGGTTGCTGCATTTATGTTGAGGGTCTCTCTCCCACCAGTCCGTACCCTCTTGAGGGCATGGGCTATGTCATTTCCAGCATAGGCTTGACACCCCGAGGGAGTGAACACATATTTGATGAGTAACTGAATTTTTAAAAATGACAGAGGAACAGACAGCTCTCCAGTACCTGGCACGTGCCAGCTGTTTGGTACAGGTTTCACCTGTTCATTCCCTAGCTATTCACCATGCCAGACAGGATGTTTAGTGTCAGGGATGCAGTGAGGAAAAACAGACAGGTCCTTGCCCTCATGAACCTTCAAGTTGAGCAAGGAAGAGAGACAGCAATCAAATCGCAGAAATAAATATAAAACTTCAATGAGGCACATGTTGCAAGAGGGGGTGCATCATTCTAGAATAGTGGATGACTGGCGTAGTCAACCAGGGAAGGCCTCCTGGAGAAAGGGACTCAAAGGAGTAAGCATCAACAAGGCGAGAGGGAGAGGCCCAGTTCTAAGAACAGCAAGTGCTAAGGCCCTGAGGCAGGAGAGGGCTCAGCACAGTCAAGGAATGGCAAGAGGACAACAGAGTGATCAAGAGAGGAAAGAACAGGAGACAGAAAGGTCAGCTAGCGCCAGACTGCAGACCCATGAAGGTTGGAAGTGGCAGTGGGAAGCCATCAAAGACTCCATCAAAGCGTTTTGAACAGAGGGATGACAGGTTCCACTTGCATTTTACCAAGACCCATCTGGCTGCTGTGTGGAGAATGAGTGGGGTGGGGCAAAGCAGCAGTGGACAGCGGGCACCAAAGAGGCCAGAGAGGGAGGCGGGTGGTGCCTAGGGCCGCCCTGGAGAGCTGGCCAGATGAGCACTGCACCAGGGCACCCGCTGTGCCCCAGGGTAGAATTGCATCTGCCCACAAAGGTGCCTCTTACTCTCTCCTTCACGCAGGAGGGCTTTTTCTAATTCCCACAAAGGCTCTGCAGGGCCCTGGCCTTGTAAACCGTGATCGGAGCCGAATTTGATGTTATCAGTTACCAGGAGTACCTGCCAACTGCCCACTCTGTCCCAAGCCTCAATGCAGAGCGCCCCGCCCTGAGAGGCCACCTCTCCCAACCCCAGTCTCCCCACCACCCTGTAAGCCAGCACTGGTCAAAGATGAGAGCTGTATTTCAGGCCCTGTCCCTCACCTGCTGTGGCCGGGGAGGTCACACTGGACCACAGGCACTGGGGGATCTCATTTCAAAGCCCCGACCCCGAGCTGACTGCCAGGCGCTGGCAGCTCAGCCAGCTGCCCAGCTGGAAGACACTGAAGAAGGGGAAAAGCCAAGTTGCTGACTGTCCACTCTGTCAGCAATGAAAGGAACCAGCAGGGAAGGGAACGGAGAGTAAGCCTCGCATCACAGAGACTGACCCCCAGGGCAGGCTTCGCCCCGCAGGAGGGGAACCCCTCCTGTCCCTCAGCACTAAAGACCCACTCAGGAGACACCGAGTCTTCCAATGAGGCCATCCAGGCAGCGGAAGGAAGCCCTGGTCCAGGCACTGGGAAGCCCAGTACAGACTTCATGACTGGCTGATGACCTTGGGAACCCCATGTGTCCTCTCCAGGCCTCACGTCAGCTTGTTCTGGGTTAGAAGCCAGGAGTGTGGTTGTCAAATCTTGGCTCTGACTTACTGGCTGTGTCATCCTAGAAAGTCATTTAACTTTTAAAAAAAAATATGTTTCTATTGATTTTAGAGAGAGAGAAGGAAGATGGAAAGAGAAACATTGATGAGAGAGAAACATCTATAGGCTGCCTGCTGCACTTTCCCTACTGGGAATCGAGCCCGAAACCTGGGTATATGCCCTGACCAGGAATTGAACCAGCAACTTCTCAGTGCATGGGACAATGCTCAACCAACTGAGCCACACCAGCCAGGCCACTTAACTTACTTCCTTACCTGCAAAGGAAGTGTCTGCTTCACAGGGCAGTTGTGAGAGTTATGCATGGTAAGGCAAGCAAAGCAAGGAACTCAGTGTCTGGCATGCAGTCAGTGCGCAAAAAAAGGTTGGGCAGCCCTTGTCAGAGCCAGGAACTGGGACTGCAGATGAAGACCTGCTCCACCTTAAGGACCTCTCGTGAGCACAGGCTCAGAGACATAAGACTAAGTGCTTCCACCAGCTGCTTGCTAGACACAGAAATGACAAAGCATGACTGGGTGGCTGCAGGCACCAGGCACTGTGCTAGAATTGCCCACCCCGTCTTGCTTTGTCTTCAACATGGCCCAGTGAGGCAGCTGTGATTGGCTCCACTTTACAGATGGCTTGAGTAGTACCCTGTCCAAGGTCACTCTGCTTTTAAGTGACAACAAGATCTAATCCAGGGCCTGGACGTTTCTGCCCTTGCTCTCCTGCTGCACTGGGAATGCAGCACCAGTGGGAATTGGAAAATGAATCTCCAGATCCCTGGGGTCCCACAAACCATGTGGGTTTGGCCAACCCAATGCACAGTGCTGAAGGTGGCCTTGCAGAAAGAGCCCCCAAAATGTATATCTTGGCCGACAGAGGGCGCCAGTAAGAGTAGAAAGTCACAGGTCTCTGATCAAAACCAAGTAGGGGTCTCCTGCTATTGAATAGAGTAGGGAGAGCAGGAAGACCTGGAATTGCCACTGACCCTACTAAGCACGTCCTTGTCCCTCACAGGGCCTCATGTTCACCTGGAGAGCAAGGAACTCGGGCTAGATGAGATCCCAAGTTCTCAGCTGTATCAACTGTGCCCAATGACAACAGTCCACTGCCTGGTTTCCAGAGACTGGGAGCTCTGTGCACTGGATGTGGCCTCTGATGCAAATTCTACTAAATAAATGGTATGAGGTTCCTGAACTCACTGCATGATGGTTAAGACTAAGGCCCATAGAGCCAGACGCCTGGGTTCAAACCCTAGATCTGTACTCATGGGAGGTGTGCGCATGGGCATATTTCTTCACCCCTCTTTGCCTCTATCTCCTTCCTCTTAAATCAGGAGGGTACCTACCTGGCTGGGAGGATGGTCTACGAGTGTTCAATGAGTTAATTCATGTGAAGCATATAGGACAGGCAGGGCATGGCTCCGGGTGAGCACTCAATAAATGTCAGGCCTGGGGCTCTGGCTCGATCTTAATGAAGTCCATGGAAGGAAAGGGAACAGAGTCCAGGAGAAAAGAAGAGAGGCTGACAATGAAGAGAGTCTGACTTTATGCCACTATAAAGCCATAAACCAGGTCAGCATTTCCCGGAGGGCGATCTGTGAGGAGAAGGGCTTTGTGATCAAGCCAGTTGGGGAACAAATCTCACCAGGTTGCTCTACTGCAGGACTTCTAAGAGCCTTCAATTCCTTGACCCACAAAACCTCAATGGGTGGCAGAGCATCCTGCTGCATTAACGCATGTAAGAACATGCTGTGGAAACCCATCATGACGCCAGGCTCCTCCCAGCACAGGGGAGTCCACAAACGTGTGGGGATGCATGGTCATCCAACAGTGGGCATGGCCCCTTCTGAGCCACCTCCTGCTCCCCTCCCTGCTCACGCCAAGCAAGAGCCTGCTTCAGGAGCCATGCACTTACCCTCCCCTCTTCCGGGAAGGCCCCTGGCACAGAGCCACACAACTCCTTCCCTCACCTCCTTCCAGTCACTATATCAAGGACAACTCCCCTGGCCATTCTATCAAAAACAGTCTCAACTGCCATACCCATCGCCCACTCTGCCCTTGGCCTGCGTTATTTCTTTGTGAAGGTCTCACCACTTGCCACAGGGTATGTTTATTTGTTCATTGCCTGTCACCCACCCCTCCCCACGGCAACGTCAGCTCCGTGACAGAGGGACCTTGCACATCTGGTCACTGTGCCCAGTGCACAGCACAGGGCCTTGGACATGCTAAGTGCTCAGTAAATACTGACTGAATTAAGGAACAAATGCCCCCAAGCGCCCAGCTAGAGTCCCAACCAAAGTGTGCTTTCATCTGGCAGGCCAAAGTTCTTTGGCCAGAGCCTCTGGATGTCCATCCAGCTGTCCCCACCTGCCCCTCCCCAAGGACAGCTTCTCCAGGACACTGTCAACAAGGACTCTGGCCCCAGCAGTCATTCTGGGTGCCCCACAGAGCCCAGAGCAGCTGGCCTGCCCACTGCTCTCATTTCTTTTTCTCTTTCTCCCAATGCAAAATGGCTCCAATTCAGGAGGTGCATAAACCCCACACTCCACCACAGCCCAGAGGAAAGAGCCTGTGATCCAGAGCCCAAACTGTCTCAGTCTCAGTTCAAATCCTGGCTCTCCTACTTACAGGCTACACAGACACATATACATAACCTAACCCTCCTGAACCTTGGTTTGCGCATCTGCAAAATGGGGACGACATACCCATCCCTCAGGAGGCTGCCACGACAGGTTTTGAGGGACCTAGCAGAGCATATCCTCTCCTACCCATCCCTGGGGCCTCCTTCAGGCAAGTACCTGCTATATGCCAAGTCCCATGCATGGCAGGCAATTCCCCTGCCATGTGCTCCTAATAAAAGCTAATCCTTAAAAAGCACCTACTAGGCACCAGGCACAGGGTGCCCCAAGTGCCTTACATACATTTAACCTCCACAAAAATCCTGGGAGGGAGGTGCTACCATGACACCCATTTTACAGATAAGAAAAGTCAGGCACTCAGCTAACGAGTGTGGAGATGGGATTCAAACTTAGCTGGAGCTCTTAACTGCTTGGGGACCCTGCTCCCTGCGTACCTTGAAGAAGCCGATGATGCCCACGCCGTAGGCCACACAGTACTTGTCCAGCAGCTCCCGGTTCCAGGCGTCCAGGTTCACGTACTTGAGGATGTTCTCATAGATGATGAGGGCGAAGCGGCCACGGCCCTTGTCAGTGAGTGTGGGCATATCCCCCTTGCCCGGTGCAATCTCTGTGCGGTACTTAAAGCGGCTCGACTCCAGGATGGCCACCACCTCCTGGCCCAGCTGTGAGTAGAGGCTCTCCACAAACACCAGCACCAGTGGGTCCGTACGGGAAGGGGTGGCCGCCTGCACGGGCTTGAGCGGCAGCAGGCGGCTGGGGGCAACAGGCGGCGGGTCCCCACAGTCAGGCTCGGGGGCGTCTGCTGAGGGTTCCAGGCCCCGCTTCCAGCCATATAGGTAGTAGGCGGAGACACAAACGCTGAACACGCAGAAGACAAACAGCAGGAAAAAGATGGCCTGTGGGGACACGTGCCGACACAGCCTGCGGAGGCGCGCCAGGGTGGGCATCCTGGTCCCCGAGACCTTGGCCACCAGAGGCCCGGCCTGCCCTGGCCACCCCAAGGCCCCACGCAGAAGGAGACACGGGAGTTGTCCACGGGCCAACAAATTCACAGACAGTTAGCAAGCGAGGCCCTCAGCGGGCGGTGGGAGTGGAGGATCCGGGCCACCGGCCCTTCCTCCCAGCCAGGGGCACAGTCCGCAGGCTGGTTGAGCTCCTTCCTTCCTCCTCGCCCCTTTATGTCACCATGGCAAACCCCCACGTGGTCCTGTGCACAGCAGAAGTACCCCAGGGCGTCAGGGCCTCCTGGGGGGGCCGGGCAGCGGGCAGGAAGACACTGGGCAGGCCCGGGGATGCCACATGCTGCTGGCTTGGTGGGGCCCCCGGGGCCAAGGCTGTGGAGAGAAGTCAGAAAGTGAAGAGTCAGAGTGTGGGCTTTGGGGTTACTTTATGAGTGTTCAGGCCCAAGTTCAACTACTGCTGCCTAACCTGGCTGAATGATCTATGAGAGCTCCTTAATCTCTCGGTGCCTCAGTTTCCCCATGTGTGAAAAGGGGCTGCTGGTGGGACCCAGCTCACAAGACAGGCTGGGGGATTAAGTCCAACAGGTGTGTACATGGCTGACAGCGGCTCCCAGCATCTTGTGTCTACAAGGGCAGTTGCTATCTGTTATAGTTGTTGGAATCAGAGACCAGACCAAGAAAACTCCAGGAGTGGGAAGAAGTGAGACAGTAGATACTTCCCAGGCCTGGGAGCTGGAGGTGGAATTCTAAATCACACTCGAACACCACGTCCTCACTGTCTCTCTCTCAATGACCTGCAATGCTTCTCCCCTCCCCCATTTCTCTGAATGGGCCCGGCAGCCCCATCCGACAGATGGAAAGGCTGAGGCTCAGGCACAGCAGCCAAGCCAGGGCTGTGAGGCACGGGCGGCTGAGCTGTGCTGGAAGGGCCCTCTCAAGCATCAGTGACCTCATCTGTGAAATCAGCACCCCTGGGCCGCAGGGCCGGGGCTCAGGGAGGACTGAGTGAATAGCCCAGGAGCTTGGCACCAGCAATAGCTCAGAAGTGGCAGCTGTCACTATTTGCCCCAATGCAACAGGCATCTTCCCTCCTCAGGGCTCATGCCACACAGGTACACACACCAGGATCCTGAGCTTGTCGAGGGAAGGCGGGCAGGGCCCCAAGCAGCCAGAACTTGGGTTCCAGTCTCCCCCTCAGCCAACCCCTGACAGGCATGCTGCCTATATGGGTTTCTCTGGAGAGTTGATGAGGCGGCGGGTCCCCACAGTCAGGCTCGGGGGCGTCTGTGAGGGTTCCAGGCCCCGCTTCCAGCCATATAGGTAGTAGGCGGAGACACAAACGCTGAACACGCAGAAGACAAACAGCAGGAAAAAGATGGCCTGTGGGGACACGTGCCGACACAGCCTGCGGAGGCGCGCCAGGGTGGGCATCCTGGTCCCCGAGACCTTGGCCACCAGAGGCCGCCCATACTAAGGCCCTAATTCCATCACCCCAAATAGCATCCCCCCACACACAGCCCTCTAGTCTCCCTTCAATGTGAGTGGAAGCAGCTGCTGAAGGCTAGCAGGAAGCTCCCCAGGGCGCTGGGCGTCGGGACAGGGACAGAGGTGCAAGGGCCTGGGCTGGTGCAGCTGGGGAGGGAATGTAAGCCTAGACATAGACTTGGGGGTGAATATCTTCAAGGTCCCTCCCCAGCTCCAAGGCAATCCAGGGTGTTCCACATGGGTACGACATGCCATGCCAGAGAACTTCTAGGAACTCATACTAGGAACTTATCCTTAATGGCAAAGTGTATAAAGATTTCCCCGCAAAAATATACCCCAGTACTATTTATAACAGCAAAGATGCCGTTTACAAAAGCAAATGCCCAACAACAGGGGACTGCCTTTGGCAATTACAGCGCAAGCATGTGTTGGCATCCCAGGCAGCATTTACAAGACGTCAAAGAACATTTACTGACACAGCAATAGAATTACCATATAGATTGTTAAAGTGGCAAACTTGTATAAAACAGTATGCATTGTCATACTTTGGGTAAAAAATTTTATGCATAGGCTAGAAAGTGGTACTAAATCCAAAAAAATGTTAACAGTGATTATCTCGGAGGTGCTTTCATTTTATTCCTTTTGTTCGTTTCCTAAATTTCCTGTAATAATCATTTGTTATTTTTGTGAAAATAAGAAAATAAATGTTTTCAAAAGATATGCTCATAGACTGACAGATCTCAGAGAGAAGGAAGGAGAGGGGCTGGGAAGAGATTAACCAAAGATCTTCTATGCATATATGCATAGCCCATGGACACAGACAATAGTGTGCTGAAGGCCTGGGGTGGGGCCGGAGCTGGGTGGAGGAGGGCAAAGGGGGGAAATCGGGGGACATCTGTAATACTCACAACAACAACAACAACAAAGGTGTGCTCAGAAGCAAGGGGAGGACAGTCTCAGTCACCAAGTCCGCTCCCAGTTCTGTCATAACGTGCTGTGACCCCGAGCACAACCTGCCCCTCTATGGGCTTCCTGTCTATTAGAGAGGGGTTTAAGCCAGATGATTTCTGGGGGCTCTTTCACCGCTGAAAGTCTACAATTCAGTCCCTACTATGTGCCACCACCATGGGGAACCCGAGGCCACCAAGAAAACAGGCACCTACAAGGCAGGGGGATGATGTGGCAGTGGGGAAGGGAGGGCGTGTGAGAGACCCGAAGGCCACACCGTCCCGGGAGGGAGGAGGACCGAGGAAGGTTTCTGGGAAGAAGTGGTACCTGAACTGACCAGCAGGACAAGTAAAGGCTGACCAGGGGTAGGAAGAGGGAGGGGCACCTACCACATGCAGCTTGCAGTTGAGGTAGTGTGTGGGCTTTCCAGGGACTCAGAAGTTCCAGCTGACAGCAGGCAAAAAGGAACAGGTTTCCTGGGCGGAGTCAGGAGGGCTGAGGTGACTGGTCCTGTTTATACCTAGGGTGCACCTGTGTCCTACTCCCACTGATAAGGGCAGCCCTCTGCCCTACGATCCCAGTGAACCCCACCCCTTGGTCCGGGGCCAGGACAGACCTGTGGGTGGAGAGGGAGAGCTGCTCCAATGGTGCCCTGCTTGCCACTGAGGCCTGAGGCCACCCAACCTCACTTCCCTCGCAGGCCTGGGCACTGTGGTCACTGGCCCTCAGTCTACTGCACTAACAGCCTTTCAGCGTGTGCGAAAATGATGCAATCAGCAGCATCTCAGACATCTGGGGGACATAGACCCTTGTGGGAATCAGATAACATTTTTCCATCAAAAAATATGCACATGCCCTGGAAAATGCTGTAATGATTTCAAGAAGTCCAGACCCTGTGACCCCAAACCCATCCGTGGACCTAAAGCCCTAGGCTAATACAGCCAGCCACCTCCGTTCACACCCAAGCCCACCACCCAGTGCTTGTGGGATCCTAGGCAAGTTAACTTTTCTGTGCCCCCATTTCCTAATCTGTAAAAGAGAAAAACTTGACATACTTCCCAGAGCTGTGAAAATTAAGTGAGTTGATCCATATGAAGTGCTCAGAGCCATGGCTGACGCACAGCACGGAGGGCCAGCCGCTATGATCATGCCTGCTGTTTATTTCCAGGGCTTATCATGTGGACAATAACTGAGCCCACGAACACTGCAAAGCTCTGCGTGCTCCCTCTGAATCCCCTCTGCAGAGGCTGTGGCCTTTCCCAGGAACTAGATGGATGGGCAGGGAGGGGCCAGAAGGTCAGAGGCCAGGAGGCTAGGGAGAAGGCCATGGTAAAGCCCAGCCCAGCCCAGCCCAGGCTAGAGAGAGGGTAAAGGAAGCAAGAAAATGGGCCCACCAGCCTGTGCCCAGAGAAGTCCAAGTACCTGGGGTGGGAATGGGAGGGGCCAGGAGCTTTGTGAATAAGCAACGGCCTCCAGCGAGCTGGCCTCCAGCACTCCCCCCCCCCCCCCCCCCCGCACTCCTTCACAAGTCTGACCCCAGTCACTCAAGGCCTCCAATAGCCTGCGTGCCAGAACCCCAGGCTCCAGGGATGGGGAGCTGGAGGGTTTCTAATCCCCCTTGGAGCCACCAAGGCCTCAAAGACAGCTGGGAACTGAGGCCTCAACCACCCCTACTGCCCAGGGCCTAGACCAGCCGTGGGAAAACTACGGCCCGCGGGCCGGATCCGGCCGTTTGAAATGAATAAAACTAAAATAAAAAAAGACCGTACCCTTTTATGTAATGATGTTTACTTTGAATTTATATTAGTTCACACAAACACTCCATCCATGCTTTTGTTCCGGCCCTCCAGTCCAGTTTAAGAACCCATTGTGGCCCTCGAGTCAAAAAGTTTGCCCACCCCTGGCCTAGACCCTGCCTGGGCCCTGCTGACATCACCAGCCAAACTCCAGCCTCGCCCAACCAGTCACCAATCTTGGTCAAGCATTTAGGCCTTTCTAATGATGTTCCCATTGCCTGGAATGCCTCCCCTACCCCTGGGACACTTATTCATCCTTCCAGACCCCAGTTCCAATGTCATCACCTCTCTGAAGTCATCCCCACGCACCATGGCCCTTCCTGCCCCCGGAGGGTCCCATTCCTCAGGCTTCCCACCCATCCCCACGCCACAGTCAAGGCTGAAAATCAGGACCTCAGGCCAGAACAGGATGCAGATGTGTGCCCTTTGATCTGTACAACATTTTTGAGATTAGTTATCAACATTTTAAAATCAGGGGATTTCACACAACTTCTAGGCTGCCTTTAAAACAAGCAGGTTCTGGTGACACGGGGCATGCATCCCCACTGGCCACCATCAGCGGAGGCATTTACAGCACCGGCCTCGGGTAGGCTGGCCATGTGTTCCCAGTCAGCACAGTGCCACAGGCCCCTCCTTTCCTCATCTGGCTTCCGGCCCAGCCCCTGAGTGCACCTGAGCGTGTGGTCCATACAGAGCAGACTCGGGGTGTTTCCACGGACAGCTCTGTACTCTGCAGCCTGCCGGTCCCAGGTCTGGACCAGGACTTCCTGACCTCTGTGCAGGCAGGCCCTGCCTGGCAGCTGGCACACAGGGGGCCTCCACAAATACCAACTTCCTTTCTCTCCCTTCCCCAAATGCCTGGGTGCCCTGTAGGGCAGGAATAAGTCTGATTTATCCTGGAAGCTCCCAAGACTTTCCCAGGCATAGGTCCTTCTCGAGTGCTCAGGGTATGAATAAACGAGCTGCTGTTATTACCCCCAATTCACAAATATGGAGACTGAGGCTTCAAGGTGAAGTGATTTGCCACAGTCACGTAGGAAACTGCTAAACCTTGACCCAAAATCTTGTCATTCCTCCAAGAAACTCAGAGGTTTCTATAATAATTAAAAAAACAAAACCATTATAATTGTCACCATTGTTATT